GCATCAGCCGTTTTGTCAATGACCCCCTTCAGCAGCTTGAGCTCTTCGGTGGTTGCCACAAGCGGCACCATAACCTCAGCCACTGGCTGCTTCTTCGAGCTTCGGCCAACCTCGGCTGCGGCCTCGAAGATGGCGCGGGCCTGCATCTCGCAGATCTCCGGATAGGTGATGGCCAGCCGGCAGCCGCGATGGCCCAGCATGGGGTTGGCCTCCTGCAGCTCCGCAGCACGTCGGCGGACCCGCTCCAGAGGAACACCCGCCGCTTTGGCCACCAGTGCCATCTCCGCTTCGGTGTGCCTTTGCTATAAGATCTTACAAAAACTCTGAACAGAGCTTTGCCTCAAGATGCGTCAAGCCTCGAAGACTCAAAGGCAAAGTAACACCGTAACACCTGTTTTGTCCTGCAGCGGTCCAGGTGCGGGATGAACTCATGCAGAGGAGGATCCAGCAAGCGCACCGTGACGGGATTGCCATCCATGATTTGGAAAAGCTCAATGATGTCCTGCCAAATTTTCACGCTTTTCATAGTGAGACCACAGGGTGCCGTACCCTAGAGGCTCGTCGCCGCTCAAAGACTAGGGTTTAGGGTTTAGGGTCATAAACCTTTATGGCCAAACCCTAAAGGCTCAATACTTTTAAATCCTAGGGTTTGGCTGAGGGTGTAGACCGGGTTTTCCTAGGGTTCAGTTCAGGGTTTAGGGCTTAGGGTTTAGGAAGCCCAAGACTTTATAGTTTAGTTTAAGGTTTATGACCCTTTTTAAACCATAAGGCTTTATGGCCAACCCCAAACCCTAAACCCTAAACCATAAGGCTTTACGGTCCTGCCGCTGCATGACCAGCAGCTTGTCCAGTGCCTGGCGACGATCGTTCTCATCGGTGGCCAAGATCATCTGCCTCATGGCGACAATTCGCTGCCCGTCGAAGAACATGTGCTCAGTGCGGACCAAACCAATGCCTTCCGCACCAAATACCTTGGCTTGCCGTGCATCTGCGGGCGTCTCGGCGTTGGCTCGGACCTTGAGAGAGAGAAGACATGCCAAAGTCCAGTCCTCCACTAGAGAAAACATGCAGTTCCTCCACACCCTCTTGCGTTCTACCACTACAACTGCTTCCTGCTAAGAAAACCAGCGAAATGGGAGCTAAAGTGAGTATTCCTGGACTCAGACCCACCACCGAAACGTTTAGGAAGTCTGTTGAAGCTTCCGTCAGCTCAGCCCCAGGCTTTCATGTCTCG